TGGGACGCTGAGGAAGGAGATGAGGACGCCGGTGTAGGCGCAGGAGAGGGCGATGACGCCGGTGATCCACGCCCCGAACACCACCCGCGACGCAGCGTTCATGGGGTACACAACACCTGCCGGGGAGTGCATGTGGTCCGGACGTGTCATACTCTTTTGTCGAACTTGAAACGTTCGAACTCCAGCAACCCCGAAGTTACCGACCCATAGATAAATACAGAGAAAGATATATAGTGAGAGAGAAATAATGAGAAAAAAATGAGAGACAGTAGGGTAGAGAGAGATAGTAAGCTAGAGAGAAATAGTGAACTAGAGAGATAGTGAGCTAGAGAGGAATAGTGAGCCAGAGAGAGACAGAGAGCAAAAAAGGAGAGAGGGTTGTTGTTGTTTTAGATTCAGCTGCTCGAAACGTAAGTTCCGAGAAGCACGGGCTATGGTGAGCCCGTATTGGACTTACCTGGCATAGGGAGGAGAGAGAGGGAGTACATAAAGAAGTCAGGGGGGGGTAAGGGGGAGGGTGATCTTCCTTAACAAGAGGAGAGGAGCCGGTGGGTGGGTGAGGTGGGGGGAGGTGGAAGGCCCACCTTGCTGAAGCAGAGCGGCAGACAGCATCCAGTAGTGGCCGAGGAGGGTGACGGGGCCGCAGTTGAGGACCTGGGTGTGAGGGTAGAGGAAGGCGAGCCACGGCACCCCCGCCAGGGTGTGCATCACGGGCCCCAGGATCACCAAGGTCGCCGCGATGGCCAGCCACACCTGCAAACACCCCTCAAGGATCATTTCGCTCTTCTCACAGTCAGATCACCTACTGTATAATGTAGAAAATATATAGAACTAGGTGTAATCTATAAGGTTACATAGAGTTCCGGAATGTTGCTGGATACTGATGTGTCTGTATATATGAGTTGCCACTATATTGGTGTCCTCTTGTCTAGGACAAGAGGATGAATTTCGGCTTATCGAAGTCCCTCTAGACAAAGATGAGGCTGTTTAGGCAGTCACCTATCCAGTTACTAGCAAGGCATAACAGTGTTTAACTTGATTATCTGTGCTCAGAAGTAGGTGATATCTCATTACAAAAATGTCAAACTTTAATCAAATCAATATAAAGTCAAAATCAGACTTAAGCGGCCAGATACAGGAAGAGTGAGACGCTAAGCGGGGAACTGTTTACCTGGTAGTGGAAGGGATCTAAGAAGGCGGTAATCTTCCTGGACTGCCTGACAGCCGGGGTCAAGATAGCCGAAGGCTCCACGTGGTAAGGGAAGGTAAACTCGATGACTTGTGCCCTCTCCAGGGTTATGGTGAAGGGGGCCACGCCGAGGTCCGCCTCCTGCAGCGCATATAACACATTGTAAACCTTTGCATCACATTCTGATCAGTAACGATAACAATATATTTATTATTAGATATGCGGTTACTTACATCCATACTCTTAAATTCAGTTTGTTAATGCTAATCGAACATGCAGTGGAATAGCTAATCGTACATGTATTGGAATATCTACTCTTACAGGCAGTGAAATAGCTAATTATGCATGCAGTATAATGGCTTTGCGACTAACTAGTAGATATGTATAAGGAGGAAACCTAACATTCTAAGCAAGCTAAAATGATCTAAGGTTTACCGCACATGACATTTTTACCATCTATATATATGAGGCGACTTTTGTTTGGGGTTCGTAATAAGCACTTGTGTGTACAAAGTGTATAAACTTTATATTAGTGTATAAACTAACATCAAATATAAAAATGATTATGACTGTATTAATAGGAGAGAATTTGTACGAGGTTGGGGGCCAGGCGCTTGTGGCTAACCTCACCAAACGTTTGAGGGTGATATGTGATTATATGGCGAGTGTCATAGGCTGGTTGTGGTCGACCCCTCATGCCCCTCTTCAAGTAGGAGTGACTCCTGTTGCGACAACCAACGACTTAAGTATGGGTTTGATTGTCAATAGAATATTGACTATTGAATTTCCTAGCTGTTATCGATGCTGAATCAATGTCGATTTAATGTTACTTGTGCACGTTTTGCGAAGTGGAAAAATAGATCAAGAGGGAGAAAGAGAAGGAGGGAGAATGGGATAGAGGGAGAGAAAGACATTGGAAGGTATGAAGGGAGAAAGAACGGAAGAGAGAGAGAGAATGGGACGGGGAGAGAACATGAGGAAGGGGGAGAATATGAAGGAGAAAGAACAGGTGGGAGAGAGGTACAGAAAATGAGAGGGAATAAGAATGTGAAATAGAGAATGAGGGAGGGAAAACGGAAGGGAGTGGGAATAGGAGGAAGGGAGGGAGAATGGGAGAAAGAGGGAGAGAGAGAGAGACGCACAGATAGACACAGCCAGAGAGGTAAACAGAGACCCGAGCACTACCAGGTATCCCATCAGCTTATAAAATAGAAAGTTTGTCTGTGTTACTAAGGTTGGGAGCCTTGGGGCCAGCCTCACGCAACTGTGCATGGCGATGGGTGACTTTTGTAGTCTCATAAGCCTAGGGTGGTCGGGTTGGGTGGAGGTGGTGTGTGTGTGTGTGTGTGTGTGTGTGTGTGTGTGTGTGTGTGTGTGTGTGTGTGTGTGTGTGTGTGTGTGGACAAGTGAAGGGGGAGAGGTGGGACTGACCTTCCTAATGACCATACCAACCATGCCATCCCAGGACCCGTTGGGCAGCTTGTTGCCCCAGTTGCCGTCACAAGGCAAAACCAGCCTGTACCTGCAGGGAGGAAGTTTACTGTATACTACGTCCACATATGTAACTCTCTCTTGCCCACATATACATACTATATTGGGATACGTATATGCTTATATGTCTTCTTATTGGCTTCAGTGGAAGTCTCAGGAACCATCGTGGGTTCAGTAGAACACCAGGTTGTAATATTTTTTCCATGTCTTGGGCTAGTTGTATGGGGCGTGTGCCTGGGAACACCCGGCGCATAGGTTCGAATCCTCATCACTTCTCCTACGGATTTTCTCATTGAAACCGGAAAGGATTTTACACTAATCTGACGTTAGTGTCATTTCTCTCTGTGTATTATTATATTATTATTATTATTATTATTATTATTATTATTATTATTATTATTATTATAATGTTACCGAGGAAAGAAGTCCGTCCGGGAGCGGAGATAGCCGTACCTGAAGCCCAGCTTCCTCTGCAGCTCCTCCAGCATGTCGAAGGCGAACCCTGCCCGGTGGAGGATGTGGCCCGTAGAGTTCACCTCCAGGAACACGAAGGGCGGCCGCTGACGGAGAAGGAGGGGGCGGCACGGTTAGCTCTTCTCATATTGTTTTTATACCACAGCCGTGACCACACGAAGGTGGTGGCCACAGAGGTGGTGGTTCATGTGGTGTTCAAGTTTGTTTACTATAAACAATATTGGTGTATATGAGAGAGATCAAGAGTGGACTGAAGCACTCACAGTGAGGGGACAGAGGTACAGTGAGGGGAAAGGGTACAGTATTTATAAGGGTGGTGAGGGAAGTACAGTGAGGGTAGGGGGTACAGTACTCACATGGATGGTGACTACGGTGAGCATCTTATCCCTAACGTAGGCTCGGGCCCGGTACAGGTCACCCACCTCCTCGCTCCCAGCACACTGGTACATGATCTCCTCGGCTCTGATGGCTCGCAACAGGCAATTATTTATTTATAACTCCAGTTATAATATTATATATATATATATATATATATATATATATATATATATATATATATATATATATATATATATATATATATATGTGTGTGGGTGGTAGGAGAAGATAATATTAGTGTTCAGTGAGAGACCACAAGGTCTCCTCTGAATACTTTTTATTTTCTTCTCCGAGGCTATGGGTCCCACATTGGCACCAGAGGTGGTACCCTCACAAATTTTATATATATATATATATATATATATATATATATATATATATATATATATATATATATATATATATATATATATATATATATATATATTACTTATATATAAAATGGTGATGGTGGTTGTGGTGGTGATGGTGGTGGCGATGTTGATGATTTATGGTGGTGGTGATGGTGGTGTAGTGGTGATGGTGATGGTGGTGGTGGTGATGGTGGTGGTGGTGATGGTGGTGGTAATGGTGGTAGTAGTGACGGTAAGGGTGGTTGTAGTGGTGTAGCAGTGAGATAGTAATAGTGGTAGTGATGGTGATGATGGTAGTAGTGAGTGTGACAATAGCAGCAGTAAAGACTCACAGGAAGGAGTGCCGTCCGCCCAGCGTCACGTTAAGATAGTGACCCACGTTGATGGGCGTGGACCTGGCCAGCAGGAACTGCTTCACCCACACACTCACCACCCACGTCAGGCAGTTGAAGCGGTTATCGAACTGCGGCCACGTGAAACATTAATAACCACCCCAACCACCTCAATGGGGCGCCCCCCCACCCCCACGTTAATATCAGTTTAATATCACGCAAGTTAATATTTCGCCAATGTTAATTTCTCGCTAATATAACAGCACACACTCCAAGTGCAATTTAACACAAAAATAATATCTCTCCAAGGTTAGTTACCTGCAGATTTCTGGCCACTCAGAGGCAACCACCAAAATTATGTATTATATGAGTTAATATTCACCATTGTATCATACAAGTGAATAGAATGCTAAGTAATGCATAATATTACATATCAAAGCAAGGAGCTTAAGTTAGAAAAGTGTAAATTACCAAGCAATCAAAATACAAGTAGATAATACGTAAAAGTAAGATTACACGTAAGATAACATCCAGTAGCACATAAGTTGACTTCCAGTAGCACATAAGATAACTTTACCGCGTCGTTGTTAATGGGTTTTATATATGTCAGGTCAAAATCCTTGCTAATCAATGTATATATATCATGTGTCTTAGTATTTGTGTATGTATAGCCATATGTATAGATGTGTTGTACGTTCGTATTTTCCTAAATGTTTTAGCCGAGTTATTACAAGCATGTATATATCACAGTACCAGATCAGTCTGGCTGTGATGGCTAGCCCATATGGCCCTTGGGTTTACGAAGACAAACCAGGCGGAAGTTGAAAACCCTCGATCGGCATCGTCCACAGGTATATCACGAACTCCAAGTCTCAAAGTCTATTATTATGTATATCCTCACGACTGGTCTCAGCCTAGCCCATTCTCTCGAGTAATTTTGCCTAACCGGAGGCATCATAACCTTTGCAACCCACCTAACCCTAGTGACAAGTATATTGGTTCTGGTTAGAGGGATATTCCTGTGCAAAGCTCTCCTGTTGGCCCACTAAGAGTTACTGAAGGGGCTGACGTACCTTGATATTGTTAAGGATGACGGCGTTGTGCTGATGGTAGCCGAGAAGGCGGCAGTCATCCCAGGCGATGAAGATTACAGGGACCTGAAGGAGGTGGTGGATCTTGGTCACCGCTCGCTGGGCTCCACACCCGCCCAGTGACGCCACCCCTGACCAGACCCGTGTTGCTGCGGGCACCAGGTATGGATCACTGTCTGGTACCTCACTGTTTGGTTCTCCCCCTTTGCTACTCTCACGTCCCTTTGTTTGGTACTACCACCTCGTTGTATGGTGTCTCACTCTATCTGGTATCTTATTGGCTGGCATGTCACTGTGTGGTACCTTACTGTTGGGGATCTGGCTCACTGTCTGGTACCTCACTGTCTGGTACCTCACTGTCTGGTATCTCACTGTCTGGTATCTCACTGTCTGGTATCTTACTGTCTGGTATCTCACTGTCTGGTATCTCACTGTCTGGTATCTTACTGTCTGGTACCCTTCTGTATGGTACCTCACTGTCTGGTATCTTACTGTCTGGTACCCTTCTGTATGGTACCTCACTGTCTGGTATCTCACTGTCTGGTACCCCTCTGTATGGTACTTCTCTGTATGGTACTCCTCTGCATAGTGTCTCATTGTGTGGTATCTCATTCTCCATTGTCTGGTATCTCACTGTCAAATACCGCTGTTTGGTATCATGCTATCAAATAACACTGCTTTGTACTCACCGTCAAATACTACCGTTTAATGTCTCACTGTCTGCTATCTCACTGTCTGCTATCTCACTATCTGGTATTTCACTGTTAAATACCACTGTCTAGTATCTCATTGTCTCACAAAGTATCTCCTACCTATGGACCCTTCTCGACAAACCTATGGACTGAGTCGCAAAGGTGTTCAAGAAGAGACTTAAGGTATGATACACGAACGCCGACGGAGTTACAAATAAAGCAGAGGAAATAAATGAAAGGGTTACTGAAATTGATCCTGATTTAGTTGCAATAGTGGAACCGAGTATAAATGATATGATCGCTATACAGAAGGTGAGACATAATAACGTGGAGGAACATACCAGACCACACATCAGAAGATAAAGAGACGTCGACGTTTCGGTCCGTTCTAGACCATTAACAAGCCGTGTAATAATAATGGTCCAGGGCGGAGCAAAATGTTGTCGTTTTTTTCATTTTCTGATGTGTAGTTTGGTCATGATATGATATCTGAACATAGACGTACAGTTGAGGATTGGTGCCTATTCGCTCCACCTCGGCCGGGATTGGAAAAATCTTAAAACTCTCTGCTTTGCTGTGTACAAAAAAACTCTTTAATTGATTCAGTACGCAAGAGCACCGCCTCTTCGTTCCGGAAACCAGCCGCCTTACGCATGTTATATCATATAACCTAAACACACATTACGGGATAAGATTTAAAAGGAAACATTCTATAAGAGAAGTAGCATCGTTAAATCGGTCTGAAAAAACACCTCGTTAGCTTGGGTAACGAGGCGACACATCATTGAAGACAATATTGACACCCACCACGTTATTGGTGTGTCAGGCACTATTGAGCTACCTGGCACTGGCTCCGTAGGGACGCTTGTTAAAACTTGACTCAGCCTTCAGGGGACACAAACTAGTTTTTGGAAGCAGAAACCCAGGAATGGTGTTGTGGTGGAGGAAAATGGCATTAATTGCACCTTTTACAGAGTGATTCGTTGACAAGAGGAAAGGTCTTAGTTTATGTTTTACATGAGAATATTAGGACGCTAATATAGAGAGTTAAACACAGGTTATGTCACTTGTGTTATCCCTCTTAATGCCCTTATGTTAAATAAGGGTATTAAGACCCTGGGATAGAGAGTCCAAGACATGTTATGTCCCAAATAAGGGTATTAAGACCCTAGGATAGAGAGTCCAAGACATGTTACGTCCCAAATAAGGGTATTAAGACCCTAGGATAGAGAGTCCAAGACATGTTACGTCCCAAATAAGGGTATTAAGACCCTAGGATAGAGAGTCCAAGACATGTTACGTCCCAAATAAGGGTATTAAGACCCTAGGATAGAGAGTCCAAGACATGTTATGTCCCAAATAAGGGTATTAAGACCCTAGGATAGAGAGTCCAAGACATGTTATGTCCCAAATAAGGGTATTAAGACGCTAAGAAAGGGGGGAGGAGAAACTCACAGTTGAGGAAGAGCGTGGAGACCTCTTCGAGAGGCAGGTCGTGGACGGAGATGGTGAAGAACCTGACGGCAGGGTTGACGGCTGTGATCTCTTCAAGTACCGTCCTGACCATGATGTCGTGGTAGGCGACCCCGCCGGCCGTGTACCAGTTATCGTGCACCACAGCTAAGGGAATGTACCATACATGTGTACCAGGAGACCTGTAACATCACTAGTACAAGTTAACGTGGACTGATCAAGGTCTAACCAAACTGTAAGCAAGAATTAACATTATAAATGCAGACGTCGGGACAGATTTGCTATATTTTCTTGACTAAACAGGAAGAGTCACACTGGAGATAACAGGATGCGTGTCCCAACAGGACCTGTGGGAGCTCAGCCCTGGAGGATGGACTACTCTTAGTCTGTCCGTTATCCTTTGGCCAGAAGAGTGTCTTCCCAAGACATGCTTACCTGTCCTGCGAGCCGTGACGCGCGCACTCAACGGAATAGGGTGTTTCAAGGGCTGCAAAATGATGATAAATCAATAATATCAACATATAAAATTAATATGGTTCTTGCGAGCCCATTATTATGTCCTTGTAACCTTTTCCTGTTACTCACAGGATGGGTTTGGGGTCCACCACCACCCACAGGATGGCTTTGGGGTCCACCACCACCCACAGGATGGGTTTGGGGTCCACCACCACCCACAGGATGGGTTTGGGGTCCACCACCACCCACAGGATGGGTTTGGGGTCCACTACCACCACCCACAGGATGGGTTTGGGGTCCACTACCACCACCCACAGGATGGGTTTGGGGTCCACTACCACCACCCACAGGATGGCTTTGGGGTCCACCACCACCCACAGGATGGGTTTGGGGTCCACTACCACCACCCACAGGATGGGTTTGGGGTCCACCACCACCCACAGGATGGGTTTGGGGTCCACTACCACCACCCACAGGATGGGTTTGGGGTCCACTACCACTCACAGGATTGGTTTGGGGGGTAAACTACCATTCATCCTGTAAGTGGTAGTGGACCCCAAACCCATCCTGTGGGTATATATATATGGGTATATATATATGGGTATATATATATATATATATATATATATATATATATATATATATATATATATTTATATATATTTGATGGTTACAAGATATACATGGGTTGATACAAAAATAATAATGCAAAAAGGTGCTTAAAGGTTATGGATCTCTTGAAGAACACAACAATGGGAAACATTGATGAATGTCACAGACGGGTTCGATCATTGTTGCAAGTCAAACACTTCTTCGAATTCCTCTGAAGTTGGACTAGTGCCCAAGACGCAACAGGCATTTCCCCTCTGAATCGCAACACTGAGGCGCTGGAACAAGAAACTTTTTGCTCTCTGGTCTTTTGTAGCGCTGATCAATTTGTCCCCCAATTCCTTCAGGAACTTCAATGCACATTTTCCCCACGAACCGAGGGTCTCCGAGCCGATCGGAACAAAGCTGTAGCAGTGTGCCAGACCTCTGTATTTAATAATTTTCTGCGATTCCCTGAAAGAGACAGCACCACCGCTTTCACGTGTGCTGTAGTGGAGGTAGGTACTGGCCAGTGTGGCAGCGCACGTGTAGTCCCATACCACTTGCTTACCATCCTTCCAAGGTAGCAAGGTGACCCCATCAGGGCGCTTCTGAGGGTCGTTAGGTCTGGATAAGTGTGGTTCTCTTTGTGCCGGGCAGCGGGCTGTGGCGAGGCTCCTCTTGATGATGTCGTTGACTTCTTCATGTCTTGCAATTTTACCCTGTGATTTACGACATACCAGACCATGACGACCATATTGGTCTGCCATCGCAGTTTATATATATTTATTTATATATATATAAATTTATTTATATATATATATATAATTTATATATAATTTATATATATCTGCCATTTATATATATATATATATATATATATATATATATATATATATATATATATATATATATATATATATACATATATGATATAGATCCCAGCTCAACATTCAACACTATGTACACTCTTGGAGTATAGTGTAAGAGGTGTGTCATCCATCCTTCATGTCATATCACTGTGTTTCCTAGCAAGAGTTACACCTCAAACTTCTGAGAAATATTCCTGGTGCTGCTGTCTTCACAATTGTCTCAGGCAGTCTTGGTGATATTATAAATACATAAGCTTATGTCGATTGTACACGACTTTGTTTATCAAGTAAATCTTCCTCTCTTATAAATTATATGCTTTCAAGATCTATTATTTTAAGTAACAAAATTAGTAAACATTCCAATTTTTTAAGTAACAAAATTAGTAAACATTCCAATTGAGGTGAAAATTCTCACTTGCATGTCATGGGGCTCGACCTTATAACCTTCCTCAGCCTTGTATACCATCCCTGTATGTCCTTTAGGACCATATTTCCCTGAACATGAAACCATTCAATAAACAAGTTTTTTAAGGATGAATGGAGCTCCCAGCCTTTGGTGAGACGTACGCGGCTACTCGGAAGAATGAGATTGGAAAAGACTTTTGTCCTTGAACTCCAGGAAAATGTGGAGCTCACTCTGGAGATGTATGTTATTGTAGTAGTATTGGAGTATGATGATCCAGGTATGGCCTACAGTATGTGACAGATGATCGTCTAGTAGATGATCATTTGGTGCGGTGCTCACGGTACTGTGTACGTTAAAGGGTGATACTGGATGGCATGGGTTCGAATCCTGCCCGGTTCAAATAGAGTTCTAAGTTATGTATATATATATATATGTATATATATGACTGAAAACTCACACCCCAGAGTGACACACCATTCAGGCTTTTATGCATGTATATATATATATATATATATATATATATATATATATATATATATATATATATATATATATATATATATATATATATATATATATATATATATATATATATATATATATATATATATATATATATATATATATATATATATCAGAAAACTCTTCCTCGTGAAGGGTTCGAACCTAGACAGCTAGGCTAGTCTACGTATACCTCAGTGTGTGGTATACGTAGTATGGACCTCAGTGTAGTGTGTGTGCTAGTGTGGACCTCAGTGTAGACCACTTAACTTAATTATCAGGAGAAAGCTCCAAGCTAATCTATATGTGTAAGGGGGAATGCCTCTCTCTGTGCAAGATTGGATTCCTGATGCTCGGGGCTAGCCTCAAGCACCTTTACAGGCTAATGGTCTGGGGTGCAGGACGAACATAGGCTGGTCGGGGCCAGTCCTATTGGTCGTATTAAGAGGTGATAAGGCTAAATAGTGATCATCCTCATCCCACCCCACAAAATCGGTGAAAGGTGGCTGGCCTAGCCCCTAGATTTGTTCAGATGAGAGTGAACTCTGCATGTTACTGAATGCCCAGTTATTAGACCTTTCAGACCAGTTGGCATGAGGTACCTGGAGCTTTGCAATTACTTTATTCACTCTCGTATTCTTGAAGATATCCTCACAGTATACCCAAAATTTGCCAGTGCAGGCTATTAAACACATGGCTCTGTATGATTAACCATCCTGCGAGATGGGGACTTGTATTACTCTGCTACCTTATTCAATCTTGTGTTGATGATATCCTCAAAATGCATCCGGAGTCTGCCAGTGCAGACTGCCTATCACATGCCTCTGTATGACTAACCATCCTGTGTGATGGGGATTTTTTAGCATCACCTAGTTAGCTTCTTTGACACATTGTACTCCACTTCATATAGTCTAGGGTAGCTGCACTAATGCAGATATACCTCATGTATTAATAAAAAAAAATGCATGTACTCCCCTTCGAATAATCGCTGCAACCCATCCTCCAAATTGACTGTACCTTTTAATACACAGTGTAATAAGTACATTTCCTGACTGCCATACATAGTACATAATTGCACTTATGGGGCTGTTACATTTACCTTCCCATTTTAGGAGGACGGGCTGAGTCTAGGGTAGCTGCACACATGCACAGGTATCTTATGTGTTAATAAAAATAATAAAAAAATGCATTAAATGGAAATATATGAACATTTAAAATATTAAATATAAATATCCCAGGTTGTTCTCATATATGTCTGAGGCTGGAGGGCACACGAGGAAGAGGGGAGAGGAATGAGGGTAAGGAGATTAATGAATTGGTGAGAGGGGGGGAAGAAGGGGGTAAAATAGGGGAGAAAGGAGTGGAGGGGAATGAACTGAGAGTCTCGCTTCATGCAGGTCGGCGTTCAATCCCCGACCGTCCAAGTGGTTGGGGCACCATTCCTTTCCCCCGTTCCATCCCAAATCCTTATCCTGACCCCCTTCCCAGTGCTATATAGTCGTAATGGCTTGGCGCTTTCCCTTGATAATTCCTTCCTTCCTGGGCACCCCCTTCTCCTATGACTGTATGGCGCTTGGAAGGGATATGAGGACAAGCGGATCATATCCATTTGTCCTCATATCCACCATGAAGGAATAGTGCCTACCCACTTGGAATATCGGGGGATGGAACTCGGACTCTATATAAGGCATAGGGCCTATACGCCCCACCGACCAATCCAAGTTATGGGGTGGTGTTTGCATGCTTAGGTAACCGCTTGACGTTTAACCTATACCATCGGTAAATGCCAGGTGCGTTACCTATGGCGTAGGTAACTCCTTGATGCCTTACCTATGTTGTAGTAACTGCTAGATGTCTTACCTATGTCGTAGGTGTTTCCTTGTGAGACGGTCGGAAAGGATATTATGACGAGGAGAGGTAGGAAGGTGGTCACCATGATGGAACCCGTGAGGGAGGGCAGGGGAGCGGGTGTGAGGGAGGGCAGGGGAGCGGGTGTGAGGGAGGGCAGGGGAGCGGGTGTGAGGGAGGGCAGGGGAGCGGGCGTGAGGGAAGGCAGGGGAGCGGGTGTGAGGGAGGGCAGGGGAGCGGGCGTGAGGGAGGGCAGGGGAGCGGGTGTGAGGGAGGGCAGGGGAGCGGGTGTGAGGGAGGGCAGGGGAGCGGGCGTGAGGGAAGGCAGGGGAGCGGGTGTGAGGGAGGGCAGGGGAGCGGGCGTGAGGGAGGGCAGGGGAGCGGGTGTGAGGGAGGGCAGGGGAGCGGGTGTGAGGGAGGGCAGGGGAGCGGGCGTGAGGGAGGGCAGGGGAGCGGGGGTGAGGGAGGGCAGGGGAGCGGGCGTGAGGGAGGGCAGGGGAGCGGGTGT